TTTCTGTCAAAAAGGTTGTGTTTCTAAGAAGAGGTATACCTCTTCTAAGAGTCTTACGAGTGTTGCATTGTATTCGATTAAATTATTTAAAACAACCAATACGATTAAATTATTTAAAACAACCAACACGATTTATGTGTATGTGTATAATTATAATTTTAGTAATTTCAAATATTTGAATATGTATCTCTTTAAATTATTATTCATTTAAAATGTTATTTAATTTAATTAATTAAGTATGTTTGCTTTATGAAATTATGAATATATCTTGGAAAAAACCTTGAATTATTTTAATTTGTTTGTTAATAATATAATTATAATAAAATTATGGTCAAAGTTAATTCATTTATTTTAATTAATTTATTTATTAAAAAAACTATTACTAGCATATCATAAATAACGTTAAATTTTTCGCTAGGAGGCATACCAAATACTCCGCTACAGGGGTACAACCAATGTGCTCCCATGGAACGACGTTCTTTTGTCGTTTCTCAAATAGGCACGGTTGGAGTTGATTAGGCATTTCGTAGGCATAAAAATCGATCGTCAGCTCATCACCGCATTGGTGGAGAGATGGCAAAAAGAGACACATTGCTTCAAATTTCGCGAATGAGAGTGCACCATCACTCTAAAGGACGTCGCCATCCTAACCCATCTGCCCATCGACGGCAAAGCGGTGTGTGTGCGTGATCATGCGCCCGAGGACGTTGGCGATATGATCGGTTGGCAGCACTTGATCTACAATATTTTGGGGGTGCGAGTGCCAATCAAGGGGAGCGTTGATGCGACACATCGCTTACCACCATTGAGGAAACACCAAGTATCAATCACTTGGTTGACGAAGTATTTGAAGGACCAACACGATCCTACAAAAGGCGGGGTGCCCCTGACCGAGGAAAGTCCCGAGGAGGTGAAGGAAAGATATTCTCGTGTCTATCTCATAGGCATGATCAGAGGAGTGTTCTTCTCCAAAAAAAAATCCAACAATTTACGTAGTTCTGGATGGCTTAGGATCCTCCTTGGTAGTTGGGATGCGATGGGGGTGTTGAGCTAGGCATGCGCTTGCCTAGCTAATATCTACCACCATTTGTGTAATGCATCTCTCGAAGCTGTGAGGGAGGTTGGCGGGGCAATGTTCATCGTTCAATTTTGGGCGTGGGAGCATTTGCCATGGATTGCACCGGAGAAACGTCCCGACAGGAATTGGCCCGTCGACCATCCCCTAAGAGGTGAAGCTTATGGTTGTAGGTAAATTTCTCATACCCAATCATGGTTTTCATAAAACAATTTCTTTATTTAGTTATAACATTTCATTATTGTCTTACTAATAAGGTGGGTTGGAGCCACAACATGCGACAACCTTTCCCAACACAAGTTGGCGGAGTATCGGAGGAGGCTAGAGCGGCTTTGGGAAGGAGAGGTAACTAGAATACTTTGAAATGTTATAACTTTTTTTGATGGAGTAAATGTATTTTCCAATTTCGTTTAACTTAAGTTTATCATTTCTTTTTGTAGATCATTTGCTCCTGCTTTTGATTACGGTCATTGCATGCGAACATTGCCATCCTCTCCCTTGATACTTCTGGCAGGATTATTCACCAAGTTTTGCCCTAAAATTTACCAAAACTTCATGGCAAAGGCCACCACGTCTACCATCCTCCCGGTGTCCGGTCGTCACGCTATACTCGCCAGTTGCTCGATTCATAACGGTTACACTGTGCCGAATGCTCTTTCGATTGTCATTTTTCCATGATTTTCGTGACTTTATAGGCATGGACCTTTCCATGTGCATCATTCGTCCTTGCCCAGTGTAGTCGATTGACGAACCATGCATTCGTTTTCCAGAAAGTCATCTCAACAATGGTAGAGATTGGCAGTGAACGAACCGCCTTGTAGACGGAGTTGATACTCTCACTTGAGTTCGTTGTGGCAATACCCCATCTGGTACCTCCGTCTTTATGGAAAGTCCACATGGACAGGTCGTGTCCATCCAGCCACTATGCCCCTTCAGGGCATAACTCACGCAGCTTTTGCAGCTTATCCTTGAATTTTTTTCTCTTGGTAGGCAACAGCTGATGAACACACAGAAAAGACATAAGTTAGTGTTAATTGTCGATATTATTTAATTAAACAAACCAACAGTTAAACTCTTAGGAGAGGTATACATCTCCTTAGAAGCACAACCTTTTTTACATAAAAAGGGGGGATCCGAGGATCGCTTAAAACCCCATTTCCTTAGGCATGCATCTCTTTACAAAGGGACTAAAAAGTGTTGCATTGAATTAGATATAAGTTATTGTTATTTGACAAAATTAAACAACCAGTGAAATAGAGAGCTTACCAATCCACCATAAATTATCAGCAAGCTTTTTCCGCTTGAAATGATGGTTCCAGTTGCTCTTGAAGTGTCGTAATTGCTCTTGAAGTGTCGTATGCACCAACTTTGGGACCACTTCCCGTCTAGATCCAAACCTAAGATGGCAGCTCTGATGTCGGCGTGTCGATCAGAGATGATTGTCAGGTTCATTCTCTTGGTGACATGGAGCTGAATTGCCGGAAAAACCATCCATAGCTATCGGCATTCTCTCCCTCAACAATGGTGAAGGCTAAAGGAAAGACTTGTCTGTTTGCATCCGCACCACTAGCAATAAGGAGAGTGCCCTTGTACTTACCGGTAAGGAATGTACCATCCACTTGGATCACAGGGACACAGAATCCAAAATTATCAATAGATGGCTTGAATGCCCAAAAAAGACGTTTGAAATAGCGTTTGTCACCGGGCTCTGGCAGCTGTATCTCTTCGACTTGGTATCGAGGGGAGAAAACCGTACCAGGGTTAGACGCCTCCAGTGCCAAAATCAACCTGGGACGGAATGCATATGATTCTTCCCAATCACCAAAGATGACGGCCAGAGCTTTATTCTTTCCATGTCACGTCTTCTTATAGTTGATAATATAACCATAACGACTTGTAATGTCAGCGATTATGACTTTCACCTTCAGGTCAGGATCTTGCTCAATTAGATGCTTGATAGCAGCGGCCACCACCCTGGATTTCAACTGTCGATGGCCTTGGGATGTTATGGATGACACACATGTGTGTGTGTTCACCGCACGGGATATGACCCAATAGCATGTCTCTTGCTGTTGATGGCCCGAATCCTAGCATTGCATCCCTCTTGTTGATTACGACATCTGACTATGAGCCTCGTCGTGTTGGAATGAGTTGTGTGTCATATAAAATGCCGAGTCATTACTTCATTTTCAATGGTGTGCCGCACCTCCTTCTTCAAACCAAATTGTTGGCCCTTCATAAACCCAGTGAGTGGATCCCATATCGGAACCTCTGGCGGCCCCATGTCGCTATCGACACACCAATTGTCGTCTGGAATGTGAGTGTAGTACGGAATAGGTACACGATCACGAGACACCTCATCATCATCTGAGTCTCACTCTGGGCCTCCTGAATCATCAACATCTTCAAGAGGGTTGGAGTTGTCTGCAGGTGCTGGCAGGGCATCTTCCATCTGATCCAAATCATGAAAGGCACCTTCATCAGCTCCGTAATGGTAGTTGTGAAAACTATCGCTGCCTGAATGGAAGTTGTACTCGGGTTGGTTGGCATGGTGTCGTTGAACTTCTTCTTCATATGATGGAAAAGATTGATGATGAGCTTCACCTTGCTCTTGGTACTGAAAGTAGGAATGAGGATCATGGTAACTTTGGTAGGGATGATCTCCATATAATTCATCTCCACCATGGATACCAGATGCTTGCCCGTCTCCAGAATGACCTCCAACGCCTTCGACTGCCTCGATGTAAACGAACATCTCGACTTTGGGAAGATTATTGGACCTCAAGAATTCGAGCATGGCATCTACTTCATCCTGAGTGGTTATGAGATATTCCTCATGCCACAATGACCCGCCTTCTCTGTTTGGATATCGGTATACCATACGATCAACTCTTCTCGTGCCATCCATGCAAATAACGTTAGTACACATTTGATGGAGGTCTTCAAGCATAAGTCTGGTAGCGACCTTTATTTTCTGAAAATTGCCACCGACGTAGGTGACCCCCTTTCCGGTCTCTTCCGTGTAACCATTCCAACGTAACCCAAGCGTGAACTTTTGGAATGACATCTGCAATAAAACCGTAATTCAGTTAAAATAAAAAAAATCACAAATCACAATGAAAAGTAATACAAAATAAACTTACGAATTAACGTTATTCGCAAAAACAATAAAAAGTAGGGTGCTACAACAGAAAATTGAAGAAGAAGAAGAAGAGGTTTCCCGGGACTGCCTTTTATAGGCTAAATCATCACTGAAAACCGCAGGGGGAAGGTGCGGTTTTCATCTGCCATGCAACCCCACGTCTATCAACCTGCATGGTCAACATGCTGGTTGTCGGGAAAATGGGGATGACACACAAACCACAGGGGGTGCGGTTTGTGTGTTGGCAAATGAAAACCGCACCCTGAGGATGCGGTTTGTGTTAGAGAAACAGAACCGCATCCTCAGCAGGCGGTTTTGCTAGGTCAGCCTATGAACCGCTTGTCCAAGGTGCGGTTCTAGTAGGTCAGAAAGCAAACCGCCTGTCCAAGGTGCAGTTTAGTTTCTGAAACTCAAACCGCACCCTCAGGTTGCGGTTTATATATAAACCGCATCTTGGCCGTGCGGTTTTTAAAAAATGGTGCTACTTTTGAAATTTGTGTGGCCTGAATACTATTTTATAATTATTTTTAATGGTGCTATTTCTGAAAAATCCTTATATCTCATCACCCATTACTTTGAATACATGAGAAACTGTGTATAAGATTTTTTAGATACTAATAACTACTAAACAACATACTATAAACAACTAAAATTTATAGGCCGTGTTCATAATTTATAGGTTATATATCATCACATATGATGTTCAGTACTTTGAATAAGATTTTTTAAATACAAATAACTACTAAAAAACATAATATAAATAATTAAGATTTATAAATTAAATGATATAATATCTAAGTTCGAACTCGTAATAACCTATTATTGAGATAAACTCGAATTAAATCAAAACTCAACTAACCAATTGATTTTGAAGTACTAGTGCGGTCAGCTCGCTTTCTTCTCTCCCACTCGTTGTCCTCCATCTCTGTCTTCTCACTCTTCCTTTTCTCTCACATTCTCTCTGATTGCACTCCGGGATAAACCGTAAAACCGACTAAAAAAAGGAAAACAAAGGTGGGGAAAAGGAGGAAATAAGTGTGTGAGAAAAAAAAAATTAAAAGCGAAACCATTTCTACAAGTTCCCAAAAGGAACGAAGGGGCAAAGAAGAAGAAGAAAAAAGAGCCCTTTTTCCCCCAATATCTTCTTCACTCGGTGTTCGGCTAAGGGCTTGAAGCTTTTTAATCGTCCTTTGCTCTTATGCTAAGTGCGTCCCTGTAGAAGTAAAATCTGGGGGGAGGAGGAGAAGAAACAACCCCAATTCAAGAGAAAAGGGGCTTCGGGCTGCTGGGAGCTGTTGCTGCTTTTGCTTGCTGAATGGTAGGTTATTTCAGGAAATTTAGCAAGGAGATGAACAAAGAGAAGCCTCCTGAGCCGCTCGATTTCTTCATTTGGACTGTCGAGGTAATTAATCAAACTCTGACCTTAAATTGGATCTTATAGATGCTGGATCTTGTTTGTCCATGGGATTTCTGATTGCTCTTCAAATTTGATGTGTAAAGTTCCCATTTTTTATGGTTTTATTTATTCCGATTGGCTGGGGGTGGCGGAGGGTCATTTCCCCTTTTCCTGAATCGGGTTCTTCATTTCCTGGAAAAATTTAAAGCCTGGTGGTTGGTCTTCCATTTTCTCTTCTGTAACCAATTGGTCAAGTTGGAAAGCTGGGCTTGTTGTTTGGCTGCTTCCTGGCTTCGAATTTGAGGCAGAGAGTGTAGTCAGAAAAGAGACTTTGTGCATTCCCTCAATGATTTAGGAAGGTCTTTGTCTATAAGCTACCCAACCAAACTCCTACTTGATTTCTGGTCAGTTTGGCCTGCTTAAAGTTCGTTTAGCAGTGACTAACTCCATTCATATTGAGGTTTGATTGCGTAGACTGTATTGATTAGTGTATGAAATGAACTGAACAGAATGAAAGTGTGGTGTCACCCGTTCAATTTGTCTGTTAGGTTATGTAGATTTGTAGAGAGACTTAGTTGCATTGTTTCGCTACCTAGCACAATGAATATACTAAGGGTGTTCTTTTGCTGAGTCCTCTATATGTTGTCATTCGTTTCAGTTGTTGCTACTTGTTATGGCTTTTGGTGTTCCTATTCTTTTATAGAAGATTTAGGTACTTCATCCAGTTTCTCTCCTTGGACATTCAACTGTTACTTGTAATGGACGCCTGTTGATTAGCAGTTTTCTTGACATAGATGAAAAGTTCTACGGCGTAGTTTTATTCAAATGTGTATTTTTTTTTCCTGGATGATTCTCAGTGATTCGTTCCACTCTTATGAATTGGAATATATTGATAGGTTTCCACTGCATAATAGTTGGACTGGGTTCCACTCAAATGGGCTTCAGACATCTTGAAAAAAAAATGTATAAGCTTCTGAGTTGCTTCTTGAAGCTTTACTCATTCGTAGTAAAGCAGGGAACAGGTAGAGCAAGGTAGCACCCGTTCTTTTTAGGAATTTTATGCTTGTGTAATGGTTCGCCTTAGTGGGTGACGTGCACTTAATTGCTGATTACATTTTGAAGACAATACCAATAGAGGAGGTTGGACATTTCGCCCTAGGGCAGGATAGGGCGTTAAGCTTTTTCAATTCAGTTGAAGCGAATGATTAAAAAAATATCAAATTTACCTCAAGCTGTGGTAACTTCTAGATTGTATCTCCTTTTTTGGACCTTGGCAGGTGAGCCATGAGTGAGTTACTTACCAGTGGTGAACTTAAAGGACTTGCTTTCAAGTGATTGAAAACATGAAATTTGTTGTTGATTCATTTAGATCTAAGAATCAATTCCCAACGTCATGCAGTACAACTTGACTGTTTACCAACTAGCAATGTGGTGTGATCCATTGATGATGCTTTAGCTTTCAGCTTCAGTATATTCTTATATGTTTTCAAAGACTAACCTTTGTTGCCCATCTATTTATGGCTCATGCTAGGATGTTGGTTTGTGGCTGGAAGAGATAAATCTGGGTAGCTACCGTCAGATTTTCAAAGAAAATGGTGTCAATGGAGAATATCTAGAAGGCATGTCCATGTTCACAACAGAACAGATACTAAGGTTTATAAGGCGGTGCCACATGAAATGGGGTGACTTCATAACGCTGTGTAAGGAGCTCAGAAGAATAAAAGGTTCAGATCCCCTTCCCTCCTTTGCTTTATTCATCTCTCTCTTTCTTCTTCTTCTTCTTCTTCTTCTTCTTCTTCACTTCAGCATTGGATCAATGCATTTTTGGGTAGTCTTGGTTGTAAAGACCGCCCAAGGATCTGATGATCTTAGTCTGTCGAGTTGAAAGTTGAGAGAGCTCCCATTTTGTAAGCTCGTGCTTACTGTAACTTGTTCTAGAATATTGGGGGTTTCCCGGGTCAATGATAACAGATGTACGTTACAAGTCTTTCCATGCTTTATCATCTGAGAATTTCCCTGCTATATCATCTGATTCTCATGGCCATCTCTAGTTTCTCATCTGAAGCTTTTGCTGCAGTGGCCTGCCTCAAAGGAGAGCAGAAAGTCCGGCGGCCATGGTGGGTTCCATCCTGCCTTTCAGTAGTGCTTGTGAACGTAGCAAAGCGGAACAGACAATCACGGGTTGTTTCCTTGAAGCTGGAACCATGAATGATGATGGATGGCAGGCAAGCAGGAATCCATAAAATGGGATTCATGATGTATGTATTTTGTAGTAGTTTCTTCTTAAGTCGTCTTTTGGTTTTTTCTCCCTTTTAGGCGGTAGAAGGAAGTAGAGAACTCTCCCAAAACTTTTGGCTTTGGTATTTGGCAAGATGTTTGCTGAAAGTTCTTCCATGGAGAACTTTTGTTTACTTATATATGTACACAAATACAACCACCCCTTGTCTCTCTTGTTCTGTTGTCCTTGTTGTAATTTGCTCTTTTGGCTTTTTGATATGTAGTTGTATCTTAATATACATAAATTTCTATGTATTTTGTTTTTGTTTAAGCAAAATATACAGTGTACTTGTAATCTTTCAGTGGCATCTGTGAATTATCTGTTTAAGCAATACGTGCAGTTTACTTTCTTCTTACGTGCAACTTTTGGGTAAAGACTGAGAGAGTGAACCAAGGAGGAAGGGAAAGAACAGGCACAGCTGCGGATGAGAATTTTGAAGTCTTCCATCATCATAGCTTTTTTGGATTCTATAAGACCTCTTTAATTCCGAGCCGAACAAATGGTTGACTTATGTATCTTCTGTTCTCTTTTCTCAGCCAAGAGAATGGAGTTGATTAAGCTATTACTTGAGGTGGTTGATGCGTTTCACACTCATTTAAGAATTAAGAGTGTTTTCAGGTTTAAATTCAATGGTCTTTTCCCTTCTGATTATTGATAAAGATCCGGATTTTTCTTCCTCATGATATGTTGTGGTCTATCTCGAGTGATCATTGAATGGTAGGTATTAACTATTAAGCATAATTGAAACAAGGTGATGAATGATTCTCAATTTTTTGTTTCAATTTCACAAATCAATTTATTCCTCAAGCATAACTAACTTGATTTTTGACGATTTATTATGTAATCAAATTTAATCTTTAATATAGCGAGGTACAAAACATCCGACCAATGTAATAGTTGAATTAAATCCGACTTATAGCATAATTTGATTAAACTAAATCAAAATTGAACAAGATTCAAATTTTACCGAAAGGAATGCTGGTCCTCACCAATCTAGTCGTTTGGATGCAAAATTTCATTATTGAAGGATTTGGACCTCAATTCCCATATGTAAGAACCCAAATAATCCAAGAAAGGAATTTGAGCCAAATACCATGTTTGGGTTTGAGTTTGAGTTTTCAATAAAAAGGGAGAAGTCTATTTTGTCCCTTTCTTCTTCATCATCGTCTTCTTCCCTTTTCTTCTTTGTATGTACCCTAGCCGTTGCCGATATTGGAAGAGAGTGCGGCAAACCTGCCGCCTAGAGGAAGAAGAGAGTGAGGGAGGATGGCTGTAGAGGCTTCTCGGATTTAGCATATACTGAATACTAAATTCATAGGTTCTCCTTTCGTGATGATTACACATGGAGCCATCCGAAGAACACAACTCCTTCTCACTCCCGTTTTTGACTCATTTAATCATGATTTGTATTAATATTTACTAATTTGTATTAATATTTACTAGCGTGGCCCCGACTATTTGATAAGAGGAAGGTGAGGTATGAAATTTGATAATGCAATAGGGTGTACAGCTTATTGGTTTTTTTTTTTTTGGAAACACGTGATAAAATAGTGAATTTTAGTAGGAAAAAGACATGAATGATGCACCGAATCCAAAATCAGCCTTATGATCCAAAATCAAGTACCTGTTACCTTGTGAAATAATATTGTTTCTGGTAATATAATGAGATGGAGTAAGTTTTATAGAAACCGAATTCCAGAAAATCGAATAAAAATCGCCTATCCCGCCGGTTTTCGGGAAATGAGTATCTCACGATCGTTGCTAGCTTTTACTCGGCCCGTTGGCCGATTAATTTGTTTTATAAAAATTTCGTCTTGTCATCATTGTGCTTTCTGGTTTTTTGCCAAACCATGATAAAATCTAAAGAAATCAAGAATGAACAACACGATTTGGGATAGGAACCACCGTTCCTGTATTCCTAGAAAATTGTGGTAAACATGGACTCACCTGCCAAACTGGTTTGGATTGAGATTTTTATTGGGTATCAGGGAACCATTTGATTATAAATTAGACTTGATCAAAACGGGTCAAAACTTGAAATTCAGCATGTTTGACCGACCCATGCCAAACTCTAATTATTCTTTACTTTTAAAATTTTTATTTGAAAATAAAAAGTAATGAAATAAAGGAGATGACTGCAATTCGCCATTTGCACATCACTGATTCGGGAATAAAACTATAGAATTTCGAAAGAAAACTGAAAATGTTTAAGATCGTTTTAATGTTAAAAATAACCAAATAGATATTTCTGTTTAGTTTTTTACTAACAAATACCAAACGATTCCCTATAATATACACTATAATTTAATCATTATGATATCAAATAATTTCATAATATATATTTGAAATGATAAAAATTGGACTAATTGGGTTGGTCGAGGTCGAACCATTGAATAACTTTAAAATACATTACATTTTAGCCAATAAGATATAAAATAATAGCATAATATATATTATGCTAGAGAAAATAGCTTGTTTTAGAATGACAAACCCATAATGTTCATTTGTTTTACTTGATGGGCAAATCCCGTGTAGGTCAGGCCCATTCAACTCTTTTATTTTATGATTAACGGTTAGCTCATTGGAATCCATGCATTAGTTTATTGTTAATTTTTTTCTTTTTAGCAATAAAAAGGAGTATTGTTTTTTATTTTCATATGTATTTTACCACCACGGAGAAATAAAAGGACTTAAAGAAAAAAATTGACACTTCTAGACCCGTTTAAATCTGTATGTGTACGGTAAGTTGGCCCGTTCCACAGAGAAAAAAGAAAAAAATTGACACTCTCTATTCTACCCTTCCTACAAACGCTCATGGAGCAGGGAATTTGAAATGGGGGAAGGGTTTTTTTCCTCTCTCCGATTATATGTTTTTAATTTAAAAAGATACAACAAATGTACTTAGTGTGATTGGTTATGATCTTTGCTTTTCTTTAAAGTGGTCATGGTTCGAATCCTAGTAAGTGTCTTTTTAATGAATAAAAAAAAGTAATTGTGAAGACCAAAATATCATTCCTACTTTCACTCTGGATGCAGAAAATTTGAAATGGAGCTTCAAGTTTTCTCATTTGGCTTTTATTTATTGTGTAGATGTAGATGTGTTTCTCTTTTTTTTAAATTTTCTAAAATCATATTTTCATCCTAAACAAATTTTAAAATTTTATTACATCTATTTTGACTTAATTATTACTTCTATTATATTTCTAATTCATTTATGAATTGTTTTTTTGGTGTTCCAGTAAGTGAGTTAAATTAACGGCATTCTTTAAAAAAGAAATATAAGGATGAATCAACCAGTCCTGCCCTATACCCACACCGCCACACGTGTATTAGCCAACCTGACCCGCGCTTAACATGAGGTCGCGTATGGGTATTGACTCGTCCCGAATACCACAATTAAACTACCAATTAAGGCCCAAGTATAAACCTTAACTGGGTGCAATACAGGGCAAGTATGTTTAAATATCGACCAGGGCCGGCTCATGTACCCCTACTTCGATTGTTTGTAACATTATCTAGCAGTTGATTTTTGGTGAAAACAACGATCTAAAGCTAAAGTGTTTGCAAAGGTAAATGGATTTGACACTAATTAAGAAGGCTTCACCCGGGCGTTGCTCCACCTAGCTAACAATTATGACTTTCTGGATCGAATAGTCGTGTGTGGTGAGGGTGTTGTAAACCGTAGGGAAGTGCAACAAGTAGTCAAGCGCCACTCTCTTGGTCTCTAGGTCGAGGGAAGGGGAAATTATCCAAGCCACCAACATGACTCTCTCGACCTATTGACTAAGGGTTTGTTTGACTTCACCCTCGAATCGGAGTTCGGACGCCCACCCACAACCAAACCCTAGGTGCTAATACAAAATAAGAGGTTTGCCCTGCATTAACCTAGATAGGATACAATGAATTGCCTCAGAAAACCCAGCATTCAAGCCTCTTTCAAAGAAAGGAAGGAGGGTTTTCTCTCTACATAGGTTAGAATGACAATTAGATTGATAGTCTTTCACACAACACAATCATTCATGAATAATACCTCCACATTCACATTAAACACAACCACACACAAATCATTCAATCCATACAAGCATTCACATAATTGTAGCTAGGGTTTACAAACACCCAAGTGAAAGAAGGAACTACTCCATACTAAGAGAAGGGAAAACACAAAAGAGAAGAAGGAAAACCATCAATGAGATGCTATGCTTGCTCCTTGTATTGAAGAGATCCTCCTTTAGGGGAGGAATTCCCAATTCCTTGCTTGAAGATGAAACTCTAGCTTCTTCTCTTCTTTGGTTCGTCACTTTCTCACTCTAGAAATCAGAAGAAGAAAAAGTTTTTCACACTAGATCTCTCCCCCTCTTTCCCTTCAACTGAACCTTCTTTATATACCCATATCGGGCTCAGATCACGGTCCCAATTCACTGTCGTGAACTGAAAGCCCGGACCGTGATCTCAAGTCGAACACACCGCATCACTAAGTCCAGTTCACAGGCAATGGTCTGAGACCGTGAACTGACCTGTGTCCAATGAAAACAATTTGTGCTCTGAATGCCTGGTTGTTCACGGGTAGCGCCTCCTGTTCACGGTCTTAGTGACCGTGAACTCACAGCCCAAACCGCGATCTGTTGCTGCTTCCATCCTTTGACTTGATTTTTCGCCCTTTCGTCCAACTTTTGACCCCGGGGTTGGTTTCACCTGCTAAAGTCCGAAAAACACAAAAACAAGGCAAAATTCGGCGTAAAATCAAACCTCCCGAAATAAAAATGGTTCAAACGATTAAACAAACTGAAGATAAAAAAAAAAATACAAATAAGTCCGAATCAGATATTGAGGTACTTGCCGATTGCAACCACTAGTCACAAAAAGCAGGGAAAAGAGCATATTGAACCATAGGGGTCAACAAGCGCCCTTCCAATTGGCCTTTCCTCTTCCTAGCGTTGCGATTGCAAACCACGTTCCACTAGGCGATTTGAATTTTGAGGGATATGCTTCTTCAAAACCTCTGTTGACGACTGTGCAACAATCACAGATTTTGCTCTGCATAAAAACCACCATGCGTCAATTTGTATTGAAACGGAACTAAGCTAAGCAGACCTCTTCTACCCAAACAAAGACCCGATATTTCAAAATTCTCCCACGCTCCAGCGCTACTTTTCCTCTTCTTCATTTCGCGAAGCTCTCAAGTCTTAAGCCCCCAACCAGCGTTAAAACCCTAAACCTCGCCCAAATCAAGCTCGTTCAACTCCAGTAATATGTTCTCTCCAGCAGCGAAGAGGTCGAGCTTCAGCGCTCGCAAGGAAGGACAATCCACACCATCAGCGGCGGCAGCAGCAGCAGCAGCAGCTACGGGTTCCCCATTCACTCCCGCGACTGATAATCGCAAGTCGGTCTTCTTCGGCAATAATGCAGTTCCCGAACGTCCGGCCACCGGGACTCCCGCTCCCTGGGCTCTTCCTCGCCTCTCCGTTCTCGCCAGGTGCTTCTCATTCTCACTTCATTTCTAACGCTTATTGGTTCAGATTCTGTAATTTCCTTCCGGTGTTTTTCCCGCGTCCGATTGTTTCTCGTTGAGCTTCGCTTTGTGGATGCTTGCATTGGCTAACTGGACTGCATTTCTTAGCGCTATTAAACTATTGCTTGGAGAATCTGGGTTGGTTCTTGCTTGCGCTGAAATAAATTACGGAGTAGTGCTTCCGATCACCTGGGGCAATGATTTTGATAGTCACGGTGTGTTCTGTTTGAAAATTGTCTTGCGCTGCTGTTTGTGCAAGTTACGAGCTGTTTCAGAAGTTTTCTACTTTGATTGCTCTCGTCCGGCTTCGTCTCGCTGATCATTGCGCTCATAGCTGTCACTCTGTGATTTTGTGTGCTTTTAAACTATATTAGTGGCTGTCAAACGTGTTTAGATTGCTTGAAGAATTTAGTGTGCTTACTTACCTCTTGAGTTTTGGCGACGCATTTTGCTTGATTGTCCACACTGATTCGTCTCTGGTTAGTTTCGTTGTGTGAATTGTGTTGTTTAGTTTGCTGTAACTTGAACAATTTAGAAGTTTATTTCTATTGCACACAGGATTCCGCCGACTGGAAAAGTTGAGAAAGGGACTCAAGCGGATCCAATTAAACCTGTGTATGTTGGAGAATTTCCCCAGGTGGTTCGTGATGAACAGGCGAGACTGCAGAAGCATATTACTGGTTTGTACATGATCTCGATCCAGAAATTTTTACTTCTTTGGTATGGACAAACATTTTCTGCAAATGCCACTGTTGAAGTTGTATCCACTCTTTTTCAGGCGATGTACTAGTGTCTGGTGGTATGGACAAGGAAGCGTGTCTGTCATGGATGATTTGTGGGAGCAACGTTTATGTCTGGAGTTATTTGTCATCTGCAGCTTCAAAGAACTGCACTGTTCTAGAACTGCCTTCAGACATTTTGCAGTGTGCAGATATTGGTAAAAGTCCCTATCATGGTAGCAGTTGGTTGCTGTCTGTTGTTGAATGGCATAGAACTAACCAAAGAGGCAATAAAGTTCAACAGAATCCCGGTTCTGTTGGTATCATAATGTGCAACCAAAAAACTAGAGCTGTTATTTACTGGCCAGAGATTTATGGAGAAGAACGATCTGCTCCCGTTAGCACTGTTATATCCTTAGATGAACCCGAGGTCTCTTCTTCCCCAATTGATGCAAGAACACCACCTAGTAAACAGAGACAACGTAGTAGGTCTGCAAGTAGTTCAACTAGATTGCATTCCTTGAACTCTTTGATTGCTTCTGCTGTACCTGCTTCCAAGCATGTGTGTGTAGCCTTTGCTTGTTGTTCCAACGGTGAGCTCTGGCAATTTACATGTAGCCCTGATGGTTTTGAGCATAGAAAAGTGTATCAGAATTCATCGACTTTGTCCTCCCAAGGCAGTGACAGTGGTCAATTTGTTGGGAGTAAGGGCTACCCAAGGTCACTTGTATGGCGCTTCTCTGCTTCATCCATGGAGGATTCTAGTAGAGAGTTTTTCATGTTGACTGATCATGAGATACAGTGCTTTAGTGTTTCATTTAATCCTGAGATAAATGCTACAAAGATCTGGGCGCATGAAATTGTCAGCACTGATGGTGACTTGGGTATTAAGAAGGATTTAGCCGGTCAGAAACGAATATGGCCTCTGGATGCACAGGTGGATGAACGTGGTAAAGTGATTACTGTACTTGTTGCCATATTCTGCATGGATAGGGTTACTAGTTCTAGCTATACACAATATTCTCTTTTGACCATGCAATACAAGTCTCAAGTAAGCAGATCTTCTGATTTACATGAGAGAGTGTTGGAGAAGAAGGCTCCAATTCAGGAAATAATTCCTAAAGCAAGACTGGAGGAGGAAGATTTCTTGTTCTCCATGAGACTTAGGGTAGGAGGGAAGCCAGCAGGCTCAGCAATCATACTTTCTGGTGATGGAACTGCCACGGTATCTCACTATTATAGGAGCAAAACCCGTCTGTATCAATTTGATCTTCCTTATGATGCAGGAAAAGTTCTAGATGCGTCGGTTCTGCCACCAGCTGATGATGGTGAAGATGGTGCATGGGTTGTATTAACAGAGAAAGCAGGAATATGGGCAATACCAGAAAAAGCTGTTGTACTCGGAGGAGTCGAACCACCTGAGAGAAGCTTGTCGCGCAAAGGTAGCTCAAATGAAAGATCTTCACAAGAAGAAAGACGGAATGTTACATTTGCAGGCGCCTTTGCTCCTAGAAGGGTTAATTCTGAAGCATGGGATCTTGGTGATAGGCAAAGGGCAGCTATGACTGGGATTGGACGTTCTACGGCGCAAGACGAAGAATCAGAAGCTTTGCTTGGTCAGCTTTTCCATGATTTCTTGCTAACTGGTCTGGTAGATAGTTCATTTGAAAAGCTTCGCAACTCTGGTGCATTTGAAAGGGATGGGGAGACGAATGTTTTTGCCCGAACAAGCAAGTCGATCGTTGATACCTTAGCCAAACATTGGACAACTACCAGGGGTGCTGAAATTGTCTCTATGTCTATCGTCTCCAGCCAACTCATGGATAAGCAGCAAAAACATGAAAAATTTCTCCAGTTCCTTGCCTTATCAAAATGCCATGAAGAACTTTTGACCAAACAAAGTACGAGTTATTTGTTTAATCTTTTCAGAAAGTATGACATACTATTGAATATTTTACCTTCACTATACTTTCTACACAATGATAGAAGTGCTATTCTTTCTATATTGTCTTGCTTGTTTTTCATTGACTGACTGCATAATTCTTATCTGACACTCCTGATCCTTTTTTGGTATTAGGACAATCTTTACTAACAATATTGGAACATGGTGAGAAACTTGATGGAATGATACACCTGAGGGAAGTACAGAACACAATCAGCCAGAGCCGTGCAACTGCATCCGGTGGGCTGTCGGGTTCAGAATCTCAAGTTTCAGGTGCTCTTTGGGATCTAATTCAGCTAGTTGGTGAGAGAGCCCGTCGGAATACTGTTCTTCTCATGGACAGGGACAATGCTGAAGTCTTTTTCAGCAAGGTTTCCGATCTCGAAGAGTTATTTTATTGCTTGGACCTACACCTGGATTACATTTTAAATGACGACCAGCCACTTGAATTTCAGATTCAAAGAGCTTCCGAACTTTCAAATGCCATTGCCTCCATCTTTCGGGCCACTGCTTTTTATAGGGATGAGCACCATATGTGGTATCCCCCTCCCGCAGGCTTAACTCCCTGGAATTGTCAACCTATTGTCCGGAATGGGATGTGGAGAGTGGCGTCATTCATGGTTCAGTTGTTAAATGAGACATCAAGGCTTGGGGAGTCTGCCATATTAGATTTCCATAGTCGTTTAGAGGTCCTAGCTGAAGTTCTACTTGAGGCATATGCTGGTGCAATTGAATCTAAGCTTGGGCGTGCCGAGGAATACAAGGGGCTATTAGATGAGTATTGGAAAAGGAGAGATTTCCTTCTTGAATCTCTTTATCACCAAGTCAAATACATTGTGGAAGGGAAACACCAAGTAAGTATCTTTTCTTCACTCTTCAGATTGTGTTTTCATCTATTTGTGTGATTGAGGGAGATTCTGGACTTAGATATGCTTCCACTAATCTGTTCTTGCAGTTTCTGGCTATAGAAACTGGTGAGCAGCATGAAGAAATCCTTAGGAAGCTTTCTGCAGGCTTGTTAGCAGTTTCTAAAAGGCACGAGGGTTATAGTATCATGTGGAGTATCTGCTGTGATTTTAACGATTCAGAGCTGCTAAAAAAACTTATGGTATGTTCAGGTTGTATTATAGTACATCTAGATTTACAACATGTATACTGCAGTTTATCTTGGAATCCTTCTTAAGAATTTGGAATGTTTTTGGTTGCACCTATTGTGAAAATCCTTCCATGCTGGGTTCTTTTATTACTGTTCCCTCTTATGCTATGAACTGTTTTTTACATACCACACTGAAATTGGCTTTGGTGCTTTGATTTTTCCTTCAGCATGAGAGCATGGGGCCCAAAGGAGGATTCAGTTACTTTGTGTTCAAACAACTATACGAGAAGAGGCAGTTCGCCAAGCTTCTCAGGCTGGGTGAAGAATTCCAGCAAGAGCTTGCTATCTTCTTAAAGGATCACCAGGATCTTCTATGGCTTCATGAGTTGTTCCTTCATCAATTTTCCTCCGCTTCGGAAAGTCTTCATATGTTGGCTCTCTTGGAAGATGGGTGTTCCATATCAGAAGCTGAAAATGGCATACATGCTGAACTTCCCACCGTTGCTGTAACTCTTGCAGATCGAAAGCGTCTTTTGAATCTGTCAAAGATTGCTGCCATGGCAGGTACCGATCTACTTGTCCCATTTATAGGCCGACTTTTCCTGATATAGTTCCCTAACTTCCAATTTAAGAACAGTTGACTGTAGCCTAGTTCTTGCACCCAACGGGTTCAAGTAGTGATCGGAGTTAATGATTTTTTCGAATACCAAAATTGGCCGCCTTCAAGATCGCCACAAACATTTTGCCTAGCTTGTGAATTTCCTAAGTTTTTGTTTTGCTCTGCAAGCCTGCATGGGGTTAGTCATGCTTTTTGTTGGCGTGCCCTTTCAAAATCTTACACACCGAAAAAGCCCATTCATCTCTTCTTTCTCGGAAAGATGGAATTGGAATCTATTGGATAAAGTCTGCCATGGGAAAGCCTTAGCAACTCGAATAATGATCACCCAGTTAAACCGTATAGTTCCACCGTCAAGTCACCAATTCGAGTTGGATGGATTTCAAAATTTTATTTCATACAATTGCCTGACTTTCCAATCTCCATTCCGAGCAGATAAAAGTGTTGATCATCAGTCAAAGGTGAAGCGTATTGAAGCAGATTCGAAGATGTTGAAGTTGCAGGTAATGACAACGTTCTTTAAGAAGCACTATCTGCCACTATATTAATGTCGTTATGAATTATATGATTGACAATATGCAAAAAAAAAAAAAAAACAATCTCTATCGTCTGTCTGTCGCAGGAAGAGATAGTGGGAACCCTAACAGCAGAAGCAGAGCTGACCGGTGGAGAGGACCGGTTATTCCGACCAGAGGAGCTCATCGAGCTCTGCCTCAAATCCGGAACCCGCGACCTTGCGTTGCTTGCATTCGAGGTCTTTGCATGGACCAGCTCGTCGTTCCGCGAGACCCACAGGAGCCTCCTGGAGGAGTGCTGGAGGAACGCTGCCAATCAGGACGACTGGGGAGGGCTCCAGCAAGCATATGCGGACCAAGGGTGGAGCGACGAGGAAATGCTGCGGCAGCTTAGGGAGACCGTCCTCTTCCAGGCTTCCAGCCGGTGCTATGGTGCCAATGCCGAGACCATCGAGGATGAGTTCCACTCGGTGCTACCTCTGAGAAAAGAGGACGTGGATTCTGCTGGGGCGGAATACTCAGTGGAGACGTTGCTGATGCAGCACAATGACTTCCCCGAGGCCGGGAAGCTGATGCTTACTGCCGCCGTGTTGGGTGCCGTACAAGAGGATGTAGTGAAAGTAGACGAGAGTTCTCCGATGGAGTGAGTAGTGTCATACGATAATTACTTTACAATTGGCGCTTTGTTTTGTAGGTAGAGATGAGGTCTTCTTGTTTGGGCTGTTTTTGCGGCGGCAGTGAAAATGGTTTCGGATTTGGGCGTCATTGGCAGAATTGTTGCGGCGAAGCTTTTTATCGATGGATTCCTGTTTCGCACTCTGACTTCGTTACTTGCTCTTAGAGTTAGAGGTGGCAATTAATTCCTGGATTAGTGAATTAGATCTATAGATAATTCAAATGACTTCTAAGTATTTGACCAAGTATTTGACCAATATGTAAATTTTGAAAAGTTTGGGATGTTAAAATGTTATGATTAATAAAATTTCGAAACGTAATTTTCCACAAATATTTTTGTATAAAAAATTAAATTTTGGGTACCAAATGTAAAATATAAAAAGTATAGGTATCAAATTGTAATTTGTTACAAACTCAATACTTGTATTAAAATACAACCACACACAAATCATTCAATTCATACAAGTATTCACATAATTCTAGCTAGGGTTTGCAAACACCCAAGTGAAAGAAATGACTAGTCCGTAGTAAGAAGGATTACACAAAGGAGAGGAGAAGAGACCATCATGAGAGGGTTGCCTTCTTCCTTTGGTGTGGAGATTAACCTTTGAGGATGAGAATCCCAATTCTTGGAGTTTGGATGAAACTATAACATTCTTCTCTTCTTTCGTTTCGTCACTTTCTCTCTCTAAAAATCCGAAGAAGAAAAAAGTTTCTCACATTAGGTTCTCCCCCCTTCTCTTTCAGCTCATCCCTCCTCTTATACCCAGATTGACGACTTTTCACAGTCCCAGTTCCCAACCGTGAACTATAGGCCTGGATCGTGATATTCTGCAAAAGCACGTCGTTTCATTAATGCTCTTCATGGTCTAGAGCAATGTTGTCAGAACCGAACCGGAGCATGACCCGGTAATGCGAACGGCTCACACTTTAGTGGTCCAACCGGTATTAGACCGTTTAAAAACCGTTAGAGAACCGGTACCTAATAAACGTTATCAGTATAAATAGTGAACATTTCTTAATCAGAGCTCATCTCTTTCCTTCGAAAGTGTGAAATGGAAATAAGGATTCAATTTGAGAGCCCGACGTTTTTGTTTTTTTTTTTCAATTTTCAATTTTCTACAATTTTTTTAATTAAATTTAGTGGCTGAATGGCAAAAACCGGACGAGCGGCTCGATCGGCTCGAACGGCTAACGGCCTTGGCCGCTCGCCAACCGCTACATAAAACCGAAGCGGCTTTTAGACTGTTTCGAGCCGATTTTGTGACCGGGTGGCGGTTTTACCGGTCGGGCCGAGCGGCTCGGCTCGGCTCGGCTCGGCTTTAATAACACTGTTCTAGAGTTTATTATCACGGTCGAGGGGCCGTGAACTGCTGAATGCCCGCGAGATGGACGAAACCCTCTTGGACTCCTCGCGCTTCACAGCTAGTGCCTTGTCTTCACAGTCTGGCTGGCCGTGATCTTCTGGCCTCCCCCGTGAACTTTTGCTGTTTGCTCCCTTTTGATCCGTTTTCGCCTTTTTCATCCAACTTTCGTTCCAAAGGTTGATTTCACCTGTTAGGATCTAAAACATACTAAAAACAAACACAACCTAGCGTAAAATCGAACCTCACGGTGTAAAAGTGCCACAAACATCTAAGGAAAATAGGGTAAATGTGTACAATTAGACCCGAATCACTCCCTCACACTTAGACGTTTACTTGTCCCCAAGCAAACCAATTTCAAACAAGGTAATATCTCAAACTAACAAGATAACTTGGGGACATTTCAAAAGGGCTCAAAGCGGGGTGAATCTCAATGGCTATTGGGCATCAACACATGAACGTTACAAGCAATACCGACGTCCACCACACCCGGCAACGGTGCATATAAATTGACTCGTCTTGAATATCACAATAAGAATCTCGACCAAGGACCAAGTATAAACCTTAACCGGGTGCAATATAGGGCAAGTGTGTTATAAAAGTCAAATGCGGGCTGGTCCATGTCCCCCTACTTCAACTATTATAAACATTATCTAGCAATCGAGTTTTGGTTAAAACTATGAACTAATATTGAAAACAATTGGAAAATGTAAATGGTTTTGAACACTAGTTGAGAAGGCTTCACCCGGGTGTTGCTCCCTCTAGCTAGTAATCACGATTTGTTGGACCGTATGCAAGTGTGTGGTAAAAGCAGTTGTAAACCGTAGGGAAGCGCAACAAGTGAACAAGGAAGCTCTCTCGGTCACTAGGCCAAGGGATATCAAACCAAGCTACCAAGGTAGCTCTCTTGGCCAATCGAATAAGGGTTGCTTAGGGCTTCTCTCTCGAACCGTAGTGCGGACGACCAAAATACGACCTATCTGAGGTGCTAGTACGTAGTTTGAGGTTGTCGTAATTCAACCTAAGTAGGTGACACAGTTTGGCCAAGGAATTCCAGCTTTTACAAGCCTCTTAGCAAGATAGGGATTTCCATCAACCTACGTAGATTTCTCTCTCTAGAAATCTGAAGAAGAAGAAGTTTCTCACACTAGGTTATCCCCCCTTCTCTTCCAGCTCACACCTTGAAGATTGACAATTCTGCAATTCCGATCTGGGTCAGGCTTTCGGGTCTTCCAGCGGAATTGACTTCGGGAGAAGGTCTGGGTAGACTGATGAGTACCTTAGGTAAACCTTTATGTACTGATTTACCAACTCGAAAGGGGGATAAGGTGGGTTCTGCGTTAGTATGTGTGGATCTATTGGCATCCTCCCCACTGATTGATCATATCAGTTTCACTCCATATGACTTGGAGGAAATGTTTGTGTCGGTGGAATATTGTGGAAGAAATCGCAAAGTACATAAATTCTTAAAAAAAATTCCCAAAATACATAAGTTATAAAAAAAATTCCAAAGTACACATGTTTCACATTCACCATTTTTGACAAACACAGTGAATACAATCACCGCGTTTGACAAACACGGTGAACATTTCACCATTTTTTAATAAAATGATGACGTTTTCACCGTATTTGTTTAAAACGGTGAGTAACGAGTGAGCCATTCACCGCTTTAAACAAAAACGGTGAAAACATCACCGTTTTAATTAAACGCGGTGAAGTTCTCCCCGTTCTTTACGTCCGCGATGAATGCGACGCGGATCGTGGTTTTCTTCCCAGATCCGACGCCTCACAGCACGCCACGTCGCTCAATCCCCGTCAATCACCATTCTCGATAAAGGCGGTGAATTCACCGTCTTTGTCAAAGGCGGTGATGTCCCCCCAGTAATTTTGCGCAGATCCCTCCCCTCCCTCACTATAAATAGAACCCTTCCCCCCTCTTCCAAATCACACCACCACATTTACACTTCTTTCTCCCTCAATCTATCCACTCTAGTCTCGTTCTAAGTATGCTTTGTGGTTGGGGCTAAGTCTGATCTTCCACATCACAAAGAATTACTAGAGTTATACCCTAAAGCCCCCGTCCCTTATAAACCCGTCGAACCTCTGTCCGGCTTCCGCCAAAAAATGGATGAAGAGGCTCTTCGAGTAGGTTTTTTGTTTTTCTTTTGTGATTTTTTTTAATCGAAACAATTTGATTTTGTGATTTTTTTTAATAAAAAAAATCTGATTTCATTACTTTTTTATAGATGGTTGCCGAGATATACGATCCTCGATTGTATATCCATTATGGCCCAAGAGATACGAGGTATTTAACCAATCAACAAGCACATCGCTCTCGTGCTATTTGGGATAACAATCCGGTAAATTGATGATTTATCTCGTTTTATTTTATTATTTTCTAAGGTATTATTTTGCTTTCTTTAAACTAACAAATTGATGTTTTTCCTTTTTTTTTTTTTTTGTAGGAATCACTTATTCCCGTCGTTCATAAAGGGACCACAAACTCGCCCGCTTGGCATGATCGGTTGGCGCCCTATATAGAGAGGACCGAGTTGGGTAAGCTAAGGCATTTCATGCGGATCGAAATCGACAACGATCTGCTTACGACAATGGCGGAGCGATGGCACCCGGAAACCCATACGTTCCACCTTCCGGAGGGGGAAATGATGATCACCCTCAAAGACGTCGCGATCCTCACCGGGCTGCCGATTTCTGGAGAGGCCATCATTGGGAGCACTACCAAACCCGAAGGAGGTTGGGGCCCGCTCATTCGTGATCGTTTGGGCTTTGACATGCCGACCACCACACCAATTCAAGGACGGGGGCATCCACAATTGAATGCGGGACAAGTGTCGGTCCCGTGGCTCGTTACTCACACCCAAAATGAGGTGGCCATCGACAACGAGACACCGGAAGATAAAATGGAGCGCTATGCACGCATCTACCTCATTGGTTTGGTCGGTGGATTTCTGTTCCCCGACAAGTCAAATCGGTGGATTCAATGCATATGGTTGTCATTGCTCCTTGGTGATTTGGACGCAATAGGGGAAAAGAGTTGGGGATCGGTGGTGTTAGCTAGCGTATATCGGGAGCTGTGTACTTGTTCGAAGTTGGGAGTGAAACAAGCTAGTGCTGCGATGTTCATCCTCCAGCTCTGGGTATGGGAGCATCTTCCAATGTTCGCACCTCAAGACCCACGTCCATACCGGAGAGCAGATGATGAGCTACACTTTGTGCAAAATCCCCCCTACGGTGTCAAGTAAGTTTATTCCGTACTTAGCCTAATTTAAATTTATTTCATGCTTAGCTATATTTAAATTAATTTTATTTCGTACTTAGCCTAATTTAAATTTATTCCATGATTAGCTATATTTAAATTAAATTTATTCCGTACTTAGCCTAATTTAAATTTATTCCATGCTTAGCCATATTTCAATTAAATTTATTTCGTACTCAGCCTAATTTAAATTTATTCCATACTTAGCTATATTTCAATTAAATTTATTCCGTACTTAGCCTAATTTAAATTTATTTCATGCTTAGCTATATTTCAATTAAATTTATTCTGTTCTTTTACTTACAAGGTGGATAGGAGCAAATACAAACGACCCATCAACCTGAGCACTCTTTATTGTTTTATCGTTCTGATTTAGATAAGCCTTGGTGGAACCAGGTAATCATGCTTTATCATATTTTAACAATTTAAATTCTTTCAATGTAAATGGTCACTAATTGCAAATTTTGAATGAGTATAGGTTACATGGGATCCATATCCACGTGAAGTAGTCGAGCTGCATCATCTCAGACACCCCCAGGATCATGAGACGTGGTTGTGCAAGGTGCCATTGATCTGCTGGCACATCGTGGAGTGACACCTACCCGATCGATCCTTGAGGCAATATCGAATGGAGCAACCAATTCCACAAACCCCGCCTCAAGGTTTCAAGGAGCTCCATGCCATCGACCTCCGACACGCAACAAAGAATTGGCTTCTAAAGCATCAGTTCTACATCAACATTTGGGAGAATAGAGAGACATGGGTGCAGAGTAACCGTTTGACGATTGTGGCCACGTCTACCTCCACCCCATACACCTGTTTCCACTGTAAATATCCATTCACTGTGATCGAAAAGAACAACTTTATGCTTACTTGATTTTTCTTCGTTCTTCTGCATTTGCTCAAAGACGTCATGTGCTATCGGATGACCAGATATCTCCCTCCTTATCGCTAGCTGCAGCCGAGCCACCCGCCACTCGCTGACCTTCCAGTATGACGTCTCCACTATGATAGAAATAGGCATCGCTCGAAGGCCCTTGCACACATTATTTATACTTTTTCCATGGTTGGTACTTGCAATGCCCCATCTGGAACGTCCACATGGCCAACTCTTGATCTTCAGCCCATACTGCTATAGCTCGGTGGGTCTGACGGATCGTTTTCATCTTCTGCTCGTACTTTTTTGGCTGATGTGCAACCCCTGCAAGGTGAACAAAATCAAACTGGTCAATACATTATAAATAACAAATTATTAAATACATAGTTAATTCGCATTAAAGGACATTAGTACATGCATGCCACAATTGATTTTTGATGTCTTTCTTCTTCCCAAATTTGTGTTGGAAATTGGCGAGCCAGTGTCGAATACACCAGCGCCATGTCCATCCCCACTCGTCAGGAAAACCACCCACGGCATTCCTAATCCCCGCGTGTCGATCGAATATAATCGTAATACCCTCCCGTTGTGTCACATGTTCGTGTAGTTGGTCAAAGAACCATGTCCAACTTAAGCTGTTCTCCCCTTCCACTAATGCAAATGCAAGCGGGAAAATACGCATGTTTCCATCAACGCCAGTGGCAATGAGAAGAGTTCCTCTGTACTTCCCAGTAAGGAAAGTTCCATCAACCTAATTAAAATTAGGAAGTAATTAGTAGGGGTGGGATTCGGTAAGCCGGTAAACGGTTTAGCGTTTTACCGAACCGGTAACCGATGGTAAACGATAAACCGTTTACCGGCGGTATCGATGGCCGAGCGGGGAATTGGGTGGGTCGGTTTACCAAATCCGGTATCGGTAAATACCGACGGTAAGTCGGTAATACCGATACCGAACCCCAATGCTATACCGAACCCCAATGCTATGTCGTGTCAGCCGACATCCCCTCTTTTCTTCTTTATTTCGAAATCGCAGAGAAGGCACGCAGACCCTGCGCCGCGCAACCACCTCTTTTCTTCTGCATCATTCTTGCATATGACATGTAGTTGTTTGCTGTCAGAATATTTTATCTTCCACTTGAAATTGCGCCTCAAGGCCTCTTCGGTAAAGGCATCCTGCACAACGTCCTTCGATGAGAACGCCATACCCACCTCCAAATTGGTCGTTGGATTATACACTGGCATAGGGACAAAGTAGGGGGCATCATTCTGACTATGTAAAAATTGAGTTGGAACCTGTGTGTAGTATGGCGTCGGTGCCTCACGAAATACCACCTCGTCGTCGTTATCATTAGTATCTTCCTCCTCGCTCACTGATCTCAAATCTTCCTCAGTATCATCGTCGCTCGAGTCGAATGGATAGCTCGGCCCAGAAGGATCAACATGACCACCATCACAAACATCGTCTTCTCGCTCATGTGAAGTACACCTTACTCGAATGGTATTCTCGATTTCAGCCCACTCAGGCCCCCAAGTAGGCCATTGAACGCCATCGGTAGGTTGATCCTATGCGAGTATTCTTCCGATGGCACCCATCCTGCACTACTACCTCCATCGTAGTTGCTTGAACTACCACCCTCTTCGTAACCTCCTGTATAACCACCTCCTTCGTAGTTGCTCGAACTACTACCCCATCCATACCCTCCTGCAAAACCATCATCATAAGAATACTGGTGAGAATGAGTTTCACCGACCGCCTCAGTCTCAACATACACCTCTGCTTGCCGCATCCCGTTATCGCTTAGGAACTGTAACATCATCGTAACCGCGTCATCATCGTTTATGACAACTACTTGGTACACAAGCCCGCAAGTACTCATGTCTGGATACCGGTAACTGATTTTACCAACTCTCGTCTGTCCGCTCGTACAAACCCTGTATGCACAAATATCACAGAGTTCTTGAAAATTGAATCGCGACTCAATTTTCAGCATAGTGGATACACCGTCCTCATAATCAATCCCAATGTTAGAGTTTGTAACCCTTCCATTCCACCTAATAATAAGCTGAAACTTCTTGAATTTACCCATATCTACAATTTACAACAAGTAACTATTAGCTTAATTCCAGTAATCAATAACATCGGCCATATTTGCTACGGTAAGTAATTCATAACATAACAATATAACTACTAAAAACAACCATTAGGCTACAATATGAAAATTAAATCATACCGAAAAATTCATGTTTTGTGTATGTTGCTCGGTTTTGGTTGCTGAAATTTGAAGAGGGAGAGGGATTACGTTTTTACAACTACTGGTGAGAGTGGTATATAAAGGAAAATCAGCCAGACTTCACCATTTTTGTCACAAACGGTGAACAACATCACCGCGTTTGTCTCAAACGGTGAAGATTATGTGGTTGTGACCTAATTTTCACCTACCAGGGGTGAGAAATGTGGGAAAAAATCACCGCCTTAACCTAGGGCGGTGAAGATGTTCCCTGCTTTGCCCTAAAACGGTGACGTGTTCACCGCTTTTATTTTAAACGGTGATGTCTATACCGTTTTTGTTAAATGCAGTGAACACTTCATCGTTTTAATTAAAAATGGTGAAATGTTCACCGTGTTTTTCAAACGCGGTGATTATATTCACTGCGTTTGTCAAAAACGGTGAATGTGAAACATGTGTACTTTTGGAAAAAAAAATTATAACTTGTGTATTTTGGGAATTTTTTTTAAGAACTAGTGTACTTTGGAAATTTTTTCGAATATTGTAGGGTTCCTCTCATATGTAAGTCCTGTGTGAAGTTTTGGCATGATTGCTCTCGTTCTATCAGGGGAAAACGAAACAGGTATGGAGAATCAAGGAGAAGAGTGCTATTGTGTTGATGCAGGAAGGGGATGATACGAAAGGCAAAGCAGTTGTAACTAATGCAGAGATGGAAGGAAGTAAGCTGGATTTGGTGATTGCTGAAAGTTCATGTAGTGAGATGGAGACTGAAGAGCAAACTATACGGTTCTTGAGATGCTAATTACTCTAAGTGCTTTGCCCTCTACAGAGGAGTTTAATAAAGTAGTCAACGGAGCCAAGGCAAGGTCTGTGGCCTCTTTTTGGCAGGTGGACCCGTATGCGTTTCCCCCATGTAGTCACACTTTCTTTTAGAATTTTTTGTCATTTTCTGGGCCAAATTTGAACCCAATTTTTGGATCAACTTTTGACATTTTGAAACCTTACTAAAAGTCTTGGTCCAATTTTTTAAAATTTCAGCCCACAACTAAAGTTGGTCTAAGGATATCGGCTAAACTAATGACGTTACAATTTTAGCAGGCCTAACTAGGCTTACGCGAAAGCCCAAATTGGGCCAAATATTTGCCTTCGTGGCTCGCTCAAACAGCCGCTGGCAAAAGTCTCGAGAATCTTCTACCTTTCCCAAAAGCCAAAACCCTGAGGCTAACCCTCATATATCTTCGGAACCTTCCAAAACCCTCAGAAACCCTACAAGAACTGCGAACGATCCCCCTCTGGTCATACCTCCAAACATCAACTTCCTCCTCACTCTTCTGCTCTGCGTTTGAGAACCATGCACAAGCTATCGAGGCGTCCAGCCGTCTCCTCAATCCTCCGTGCTAATGGCTCCCGTTACCGGAGCGCTGCCGCAGCTCAATCTCCGGCCTCCTCTTTTCTCTTGACTAACTCGGTACGCACTGTTGATAAGTCCTGAAACCTCTCTGCAATCTGCATTCTGCTTGCTAGTTTGATTATTCTCTGCTTCTGCTAGCAGCTACATATGAATGGAGTGGGGATTAGGATTGAGATAATAGGTTTGAATCTTAGGTTGTTATTGATTTAGGGTTGTCTCACGACTGACGATATTGAGAAAGGGGAAGTTGCTGAACAAGTTGTTTTTATTGCTTTACAGGGAGTGGAAGGCGATACCAGTAACAAGTGGTACTCCGTTTTAACTGGAGGCAGAGCAGTCAGTGGAACCGGGCCTGCTCTTAGGATTCAATTGCCCAATGGCATGCTATTGGGCAAACGGTATGAATCCACGGCGGCAGAATCCGACTCATCGTCTCCTCCTCCAACCGGGGAGAAATACGAGTATCAAGCTGAGGTATGTTCATTGATATGATAGAGGCGAATTGTTTCTTACCGTAGAGTTGTGGTGTTCATGACGTGTATTGTTTTTGACAGGTCAGTCGTCTGATGGACCTGATCGTCAATAGCTTGTACAGCAACAAAGAGGTTTTCCTTCGTGAGCTTATTAGGTATGATGATCTGGCTGGCTTATACCATTTCTTATTTCCATCCTGCTGTTATCGCCGTCTGGTTGTACAAGTTTTTGATTCCTTTGACAGCAATGCAAGTGATGCCTGTGACAAGCTGCGCTTCATGAGTGTTACGGAGCCAGCACTGTTGAAGGACAATGTTGATTTTGACATCCGTATTCAAACAGATAAAGACAATGGGATTGTAACTATCACGTAAGAAGACTTTTGGAACCCTGTTGGCAATTCTTTTCATTTGTCTTGTTCTTGAGTTCAACCATGGTTGCCTTTGTTGCAGTGATACAGGCATTGGTATGACAAGACAAGAGCTAATTGATTGTCTTGGAACTATTGCACAGAGTGGTACTGCCAAGTTTCTCAAGGCATTGAAGGTGAAGTGGATAGTTATGAGAAATATGATTTCATGATTCTTGTTCCTTTTAGGACTGCCTAATTATTTGGATATATGTTCTTCACAGGATAGCAAGGATGCTGGTGGTGATAACAATCTAATAGGTCAATTTGGGGTCGGCTTTTACTCTGCCTTTCTTGTTGCGGATCGGGTATGGTGTCCAAATCCCTTTCCCCATCATTGAAACCTTGAAAGACAACTCTTTTCAAACTTGTTTTCTGATGCATCTTTAAAATGTTTGAAGGTTGTTGTCTCAACCAAGAGCCCAAAATCAGACAAGCAGTATGTGTGGGAAGGAGAAGCAAATGCTAGCTCCTACACGATAAGAGAGGAAACAGAAGCAGATAAGGTCATTCCCAGGGGAACCCGACTTACTTTGTATCTCAAGGTATGTATTCCTGTTTTCAAGTGCTTTTCTGAGCGTAAATTATTATTTGACCTCCATTCTTGCATCCTCTCTTTCCACATTTAGAGCTTGCCTCATTTCTTACCATGTCTCTTTCTGCTTTCAGCGCGATGACAAAGGTTTTGCACACCCAGAAAAGATACAGAAGCTTGTCAAGAACTACTCACAGTTTGTATCCTTCCCTATCTACACCTGGCAGGAAAAGGGATACACAAAGGAGGTTAGTTTCTCAGCATGGTTTAGCTCTAAATATTCTACTTTGACACACTCTCCTCCACTTAAGTAAGTTGGAGAAAGTAGATTGCAATATGTGACTGTGATCTTCATACTTCTCTGCTGTATAGTATTGACCATGTTGTGGATGTGCTATAGGTTGAGGTTGATGAGGATCCAGCTGAGGCCAAAAAGGATGGAGAAGAGGGTTCAGTTGAGGTATCTTGAGGAGGTTTCTAATTAAGCACACTCTTTTGAGTTGAGATTGTTGCTTACTAATTGGCATCACTTGACATCTATGTGCAGAAGAAGAAAACTAAAACAGTTGTAGAGAGATACTGGGACTGGGAACTTACTAACGAGACCCAACCAATATGGGTCAGTTCAAGTACTTGCGATAGCAATATCTTGACAGGTACGCTGATGTGCTTGCTTCTCAAGAAATATTCTTACATTGCCCCCTTAATGTTTGTTTTGTAGCTTCGCAATCCTAAGGAAGTTTCTACTGAGTTGTACAATGAATTTTACAAGAATACATTCAATGAATACTTGGAACCGTTGGCATCTTCTCACTTTACTACTGAGGTAATTACGATTAGAACTCCCCCGCCAATTTTAACTCTTCAAGTCAATGTCAGTTTCATATGTTTTAACATCGATGATTGGAAAATTCCTATCTGACTAAAATTGAACAGTGACCTTCTGAAATTTTGTACTTGTTTGTTTTACAAGTAAAATTGATCTTTTGGAGGCTTTTCTTTCAGGGGGAGGTGGAGTTTAGGTCCATCCTTTATGTGCCAGCTGTGTCATCAAGTGGAAAGGATGATATGGTCAATCCCAAGACCAAGAACATCAGGCTTTATGTGAAAAGGGTCTTTATCTCTGACGACTTCGATGGAGAATTGGTGAGAACAGGCTATGTGATTTGAACAAATTCCTCTATTGCATTATTAAGTTATCCTTTGTCACTGATACTCTTCTTTTTCCTTGTTATTTAGTTCCCTAGATACTTGAGCTTTATCAAGGGTGTGGTGGATTCCAACGACCTTCCTCTGAATGTTTCAAGGGAGATTCTTCAAGAGAGTCGCATTGTATGTTCATTTCTAGCCACCTATTATACGTTTATAAAGTGGTCCATTCTGTACTTATGTTTTCTAATGTTATGTTGCTGTGTTTGAAGGTGCGGATAATGAGGAAACGCTTAGTTAGAAAGGCATTTGACATGATTTTGGGCATATCCATGAGCGACAATAGAGAAGTAATTCTCTTGTACCCTTTTCTTTTCCAATTTTGTGCTGTGATTGTTTCCATTTGCTTCTAGTATCCTTGTTTCACTTTTTACCATATACATTCTGGGTTACTTGACAGGACTATGAGAAGTTCTGGGACAACTATGGCAAATATCTGAAATTAGGTTGCATTGAGGACCGTGAAAACCACAAGAGAATAGCACCCCTTCTCCGCTTCTTCTCCTCACAGAGCGAAGATTACATCATTGGCCTGGACGAATATGTGGAGAACATGAAACCAGACCAAAAGGATATCTATTACATTGCTTCCGACAGTGTGACAAGTGCAAAGAACACCCCGTTCTTGGAAAGACTTATGGAGAAGGACTTGGAAGTACGTGCTTCATACCGTAATAGTTGAGTGATTTTTTGATTGGTCAGCTGGGGTGCAACCTGGTTGACTAATAATGTCTTTGTTTTGCAGGTCCTCTTCTTGGTTGATCCTATTGACGAGGTTGCCATCCAGAATTTGAAATTTTACAAGGAGAAGAACTTTGTCGATATCAGCAAGGAAGACTTGGATTTAGGTGAGTGTTTATCTCTCATTGCTCACGTCAATTAACTGAACGGAACAGTACAACTAAGAGTTCCTATTTGCATTGTGTCAGGTGAAAAGGATGAAGAGAAGGAGAAGGCAGTGAAGCAAGAGTTCGGGCAAACTTGTGACTGGATCAAAAAGCGCCTGGGTGACAAGGTAGCCAGTGTGCAAATCTCGAACCGACTTAGCACCTCCCCCTGCGTTCTTGTATCTGGGAAATTCGGTTGGTCAGCTAACATGGAAAGGTAATAACAGCCTTCTTGGTGCCGTAATCTGTGGGGTATAATATTTTATAATGATTTTTTGTTGGCTTTGATTATTTTAGGTTGATGAAGTCCCAGACAATGGGTGACACGTCGAGCCTGGAGTTCATGAGAGGCAGAAGGGTGTTTGAGATCAATCCTGAGCATCCAATAATTAGGAACCTGAATGCAAGGCCCTAACTCTCTCGCTCACTCTTTGTCTTGTATATTCTATCGGTGTTTTCTCACTTTTTCTTTGGGCAGGCTGCTTGCTCAGGTAACCCAGATGATGAAGATGCGCTGAGGGCGATTGATCTTCTGTACGATACAGCTTTGGTTTCCAGTGGTTTCACTGTAAGTACCAAGTTCTCTTGGGCAGCTGCTCCCTTGGAATTCGGAGAATAAGAGTGCTTTCTAATGCATAGGGATTTCTTTGTGCAGCCGGAGAACCCAGCTCAGCTAGGCAGCAAGATCTACGAGATGATGAACATGGCTATATCTGGGAAATGGTCTGCCCCAGCTGCTGAGTACGTTCCGCAGCAGGACCATCAGCAGCCTGCGTTCTCTCAGCCGCAGAATCAAGAACCGATGGAGGCTGAGATCGTGGAGCCAGTTGAGGCTGGCAACCATAAGCAATGAGAAGCGATGCATGTATCCTCCCATTTTCCTACTTCCTAGTACTTTCGTGATGGGGACTTGGAAATTAGAGCATAAAGAAGAGATATAAGAGGCGAGGCGAGAAAATTTGATTGTTTCATGAAAATAAACTATATTGTTAGTTGTTGGTTTCTTTGTTAATGATCAGGACTTGGAAATTAGAGCATAAAGAAGAGAGATATAAGGCCGGGCGAGGAAAATTCATTATTTCATGAAAATAATCTCTACATTGGGTTGAGCCACATTGTTAGTTCGTTGGTTGCTTTGTTAATAATCGATTTGGAGTGGTTGCCTCTTATTCGTAGCTTATAGTATCTGTTCTTTGGGTTGAAAAAGAAAAGGAAATTTCTCAAGGAAACTTTTATGATACAAATTGAACCTTTTGTAATACTGAATTTTTATCATACCAACATGTTGTTTAATATAAAAATTTTCATGGAATGTAAACAATCATAGTTATCAAATAAAGGACATTTTAAATTTTATGTTCAATAATCCGAAGAATTAAAATCTACAGATTAATAACACCCTATAGATTTTAAACTCATATTCTTGAAACGATCCCTAAATTAATAATATTGTTATCTACAGATTAATAACAACCTATAAATTTTAAACTCATATTCTTCAAATGATCCCTAAATTAATAATATTCTTAGTAACGTTGACTTAATATTAGCCTAATCTCATCTGTTGGGAACGTTTAAAAAAATTATATCAATTATCGTCTACAAAATTTTATCTACTTTATTACTTAATTATATTTGAAAACAAACCTACCAATAATATCATCAAACTCATATCACTATTCTGTGTCGTTGTAGTACTACAATATACCAATATAATATCAAAATATACAACAATAGTACATACACTAATCACATTTTGATATTCTATAGCATTGTAGTATAGTTATGTCTCATATAGGAGCGCTTCTACTATGCTATATAGCATTGGTGTTTTAATGTACAACTCAAAGTTGTACCGTAGCATTAAATGTATAAGTTTAGGTTGTACCATAAAACAATTTGTACCATTATGTTATGATACAACTTTACAACTTGAAGTTGTACCATCACATAAAGGTACAAGTTCAAGTCGTACCGTAAAAGAATTTGTACAAAAAGTATAGGTACAATCTAAAGTTGTACTATAACGTAAATGTACAATTTTAAGTTGTACCATAAAGGCAAAAGCCTATATCACCAATACTATATAGCATTGTAAAATTTGTCCTCATATAGACTATAATGCTAATACTATTCATAAGATAATAAAGATACATTTTTGCATCACTATATGAACGACTCATTAGAAAACACAAGAACAATAGTGAAACTAAGATGTCTACCTAAACTTGACATGACACTAATCATGTCTTAGAAGGATAAAAAGTTATTTCAAAATATAAAATTGATATATTGTGTAGATTATGTAAAATTTGATTTATCTGTGAAAAAACATATGAATTTGGAATGAATGATTTACAGACCAATCCTAACACTAATATAAAGAGATTCTCTTCTGAGTGAATTTAGGAAGGATATTTTTGTCAACTTAATCAATAATTACCATTCATTAATTATACTAATGGAACAAAATACGTTGTTGGAAACTTTTATAAAACCAATTATTGTATTAATAACTTTCTTTTTATTATAAGGTTGTGCCGTGGGTGTCTATATGTTATTTAGTTTATTTATTTAATTTTTTTATTATAAGATTAAGTGTTTGAGGTAAACTCTTATATATGTGACTTTGTTAATTAACTAATTCTTAATTAATTAACTAAACAAATCAAATACTCTTCAATTATAAATTTGGATTTAAGGGTTTTCATAAAATAATTACAAAATAGAAAATTTTAACGCTTTAATGATAATTGATAAGAGTGTCGAGGTTTATGAATGTAATTATCAATGATTTTTTAATTAATTATTATTTTATTTTTCAATTCTTCTTTTAGGTATTGATATTCTCTTATAGTGATAAAATATAGGTCACAATCTCTATCTAGAGACTAGAAATTCAAAGTTTAAAAGTAGTAGCTAAATAATTTCTTTCTTATACCACCTTAGATCTACATTTGTTATGTATTGTTTTCTTTACAGAGTAGAAAACGACAACTCCATTTTCTTTCTTTTTTCATAACTTTGCTTGGTTTTGATCAAATATTAGTGAGAGATTTAAAACTTGCTTGGTTTTTGAACAAATATTAGTATGATGATAATTCTTATCAAAACTTGCTTTGGCAGTAACATTTTATTTTTTATTTTTTTCGTTGAATCATATTATTTTTTATGTTATAACTGCTTCAGCATTATTTTGAGTTTTTAAGTCAATTCATACAATTATTAAGTACTATATTTATTGATTCTACGCATTAAAAATATATTCACCTTGGAGAATCATCTTATTGACAAAATAGTGTTTCAGTATGATCTTCAAACAATTAAGTAAAAGGGCCGGAATTTTGGTGCATAACCTCCTTTAGTTAAGGTTGGCTTAAATCTCAAGAGCTATTATTAAGGGACTTTCAATTCCTTGCAAATTAGCGGACTATATCTCATTCATTTCCACTGATTTTAAATAGGTTAGGAAAACCATATTAATTGTAACTTGCCTAAGAAAAGTTAAAGAAGACTACGCCGAACAATTTTATAAGAATTATACAACACCAAAGACAATAGTAGTTAGGTTATGATCTACCTCTACTCTTTGATTGTTTTTAACTTCAAGTTCATTCATTAGAGAGAAAAGAACGTACCCACTAAAATATAAAGAAGAATGAAGAAGTGCAATCTCGCGCAAAGTTCATGACATCTACAGGGTAAATTTAAGTTCTTGAAAATGAAATTTTCATAATTAAAAATAATTGCCATTAAATTTTTGCATCAATGAAATGTAGAAGAAAGAAGAACATGCTAATATCAGAGGTAGTGAATTTAGAGATGGAGATAAGGACGTTATTGAGATAAAGAAAGATATTATTGATGGTTGATATAGAAATATATGTGATAGCAGGAAAGAGCGAATGGTTGAAATATTTGATTCATATGAGGTGAAATTCTAGCATCGTGAAAAGATGTTTCACATTTTATAACATTTTACAATTAAAATGGTTTTCAATGAAATGCATGAGAAAAGTAAGCTAAGAGACTATTGATAGTGAATATGAAGTTTCATTAATCAAGATGAAGTTGTGTGGATAAGATGTTTTTTTTTATGGTGGGAAAATCAAAAAGACATCCAAAATGAAAATTGCAGTAACTTCTAGCAACAAAGAGTATAATGAAATACATTTTGAATATTAAGTTTTCTAAGAATCAGTTATCTCCATGAGTTCTGTTGTTTACTTTTGATAATGACTTTTGTAGATGAATGATCAAGATGTGGTAACACTTATAAGTTATAATGTATATATTTTTTATATGTTTAGTTATTGAATGATTTAGGTTCTTTCATTTACCAAATAAATTATTCGCATAATTATTGTTAGTGTCTATATTCTTAATCTAATTCATCCGGCCAACGGGCGGGTCCAACTCCAGTTAAAAATTATAGGAAATTAAATAGAAAAGAAAGAGAATATGTCAAACGAACTCTAGTTCGGTGGTTGGAAAATCAAAACAAAAAGTTATTGAAATAATTTGTTAAAAATTAATCATTAAAATAGGCGATGACCTAGTAGCAAACAAATATATGTTTCTCTACTTTAATCAAATCCCACTGGCAGCAAATTTAACATCGTCTGTTCATTAATAATAGTAAGAATCTTAATTACTATTATAATCATAGTTATAACTTATAATTAATGACAATAATTGAAAATGATGAAAATATGACTAAACTCTGCCATATATTATAGGTGATTGGAAATGTTCTTAGGCCTTATATATAGGGGTGCTCAAACTGAGTGGTTACTATGGCAACCGTTTTAACTAGTACAATTTGGATAATTTGGTTTGGTTAATCTGGATATATGGTTTGGTTTAGTTAAAAAATTTAGCTTGTTTGGTTTAATTGGTTTGGGTTCAGACACTCATAACCAATGAAACCAAACTAACCAGTTAAGTAATTAGCAATATATCATATATACACATTTAATACTTTGCATAGCCACCCAAGACTCAAACGTTTCTCTCTTTTAGGCTCGTAAAAAATCAAGTTCAATATTCTTCCTATATTGTATATTTATATTTGTAGAGTTAGACCACAACATATGGACTTCTAATTTAGTTAAAACTCATACATTATGTTGGATGAAAACTTGAAAAAAGGTTTTATTCAACCTATGATAATTGCTAAGAGACTAAGTCAATTCACACAAACACAACAATTCATTAACTCCATACCATTGCATATAATTTTGTTAGGTGAATACTTCTATTGACTTTAAGATAATTGTATTAGTTGCATGTATTTATATTAATGGTTAACTATAACTATGTGTTGATTATTATGTTTTCATTATATAGTTGTGAATTGATACAATAATAAAAAAAAATTCTCACTCAATAATGATAATATGATTTTATATTGTTAATGCGGTTAGCAATTAACCAAACCGATTAAACTTTGATTTGGTTAATTTAGTTGCATTAGTTTGGACGGTTTGGTTATGATATCGTATTCCATGGTTAATAGAATTTACACTTATTTGGTTTGGTCATTATTATGGTAACCATTTCAACACCCCTACTTACATATAAACAATCATCCATTGACACACTGTTTCGCAGGCACAAACCATATAATGCTTTCATATCCAACCAACCAAATAAGTAATAATAGGGTAAATTGCAAGTTTGGTCACTGAGATTACAAAAAACGTTCATGTTTCGTCACTACAAATATTTAATTCCATTTGTGGTCACTTGAATTAGTCAAACAGTCCATGTTTGGTCACTCTTTGTTAGTCTCCGTCAACACCGTCAATCATTCGCTGACGTGGCTAACAAAAGTATTTGCTCACCCTATTTTAACCCGGCACATAACCCGACCCGCCACGTCATCTTGCTCAACCCATCCCTTTAACCCAACCCATGAGCAGACCCTAACTTATTGAGCCACCTCACCTCTCCAAATCTACTATATCTCTCATCTCGCCGGAGATTGTGAGGGTTCCAGAACTTGTTGGTGAGAACAACCACTTTCACATGGTCAGATCTACACCTCATAAGCAACATAGCGTTCTTAGGTGGAATGCACATCCTCGGTTCTTCTATGCCTCCTTCTCCTTCAAACGCTTCCAGCTTCATATGGAAATCGATCTTCTTAAATCCATGGTACCTTCTATAGCTCATCTACTGCATCTCTGGGATACTGTGCACTTCTTATTCCTCCTCCTCGTGTTCTTTGGCCACCAACTCAATCTCCCTCCTTTTTCACATCTCTCTCTGGCACAACTACAAGCCATCACGCAAACACCGTCCCAAAGGAGCCCCTCACTTTTCCACGACATTGCCACTGTCGTTCTCTCTTCCTTCTCATTGTTCTCCTCGTCGGCAAGGCACGACGAGACATGGCACGAAAAAGTTGAACTCGGATCCAAACGTTCTCAGATCCTATCAAATCACTAGAAGAAGATGCACCCACCTCTGGCTCCGACGCTACGACCACTCGCGCTGCTGGAACACGAACTCAGCAGCATTCTCATCGCCGATCCCGCGCTCTAGCCTCCTGAAACTCCCCTCACCGCCAAGCGTTGTCGGAGGCCTCCTGGTGGACAGAGATCTGGCCCGCAACTTCTTGGTCTGCTTCTTGTTCAGGGACTAGAAGGCGGAGGATGCGTGGTCTGGAGAAACGAAGATTTGTGTTCGACGAGGAATCCATTTCCTTCCTTTGATTTAGGGTTCCTCCTTGTCAGCTGAAATAGGGAAAATGGGTCTATTTTACAAATTTTTAATTTAATTTGAGTGGGTTGATCAATGGGTCAGGTTAAGGTTGGGTTCGACAAGATGACGTGGTGGGTCTAAGTGACATGGTGGGTCGGGTTTCACTATTTTCGAGTTAAATTAGGTGTTTGCCACGTCAACATTTAACAATCTTCATTAACGGAGATGGATGACGACTAACGGAGAGTGACCCAACGTGAACGGTTTCACTAAACTATAAGACCACCAATGAATTTAAATATTTTGGCTGACCAAACATGAACTTTTTGTAATCTCAAAGACCAACAAATTAATCTAATAATAATAAGACTAATAGTTGCAATATGCACAGTGCCCTATGTCCATTTCGTCCACACATAGCAAAAGGTTGCATGGTTCAATAAGGATTCGTTTGGATGAGTTATTGTGATGAGTTATTTGAGAATAACCGGGGGGGGGGGGGGGGGGGGGGGGGAGGTCTCAGTTATTTCAAAATAACACATTCTGCATTAAATAAAGCTGATTCTATCCTCCACCTCTCTCCTCCTCTGAGGAGGAAGAAGATAAGACACTGAGGACGTGAATCTATTATGATGATGATGATGTTGTTGTTGCTGTTATTATTGATGAGCATGTTACTATTGAAGCCTCTCTAATAGGTAAGTTTCTTGGAGTCAATCGTAGAGTGCTCACCCTTGAAGCTCTACCTGACCAAGAACAACGAGATAATCTGTTTTATACCCGTTGTCTAATGGATGGAAAGTTATTGTCTGTGGTAATCGATGTGGTAGCTGCACCAATGTTGTGAGTCTTGATGTAGTCAAGAAGCTGAGATTGAGTTCCATTAAGCATCCACAACCTTACAACCTTCACTGGTTGAACTATGGAGCCATCAAGGTTAATAAGAAGGCCAAGGTTCGATTTCATATTGGTGAATATGCAAATGAAAGGATGGTGTGACGTTTCCCCAATATAGGCCACTCATCTCTTATTGGATTGTCCATGACAATATGACCGTGGATTTATTCACGACGGAAGACATAATAGCTACAAGTTCAAGCAAGGAGACTGAAAGTTGTTGCTCAAACCATTATCTCCAGCTGAAGTTCGAGAAGATCAACGACAGATGGAGCTAAATTGGGCAAGGGAGAAAGGAAGTGCAAGTGGTAAGAAGTCGGAGGACGAAAGTGGAACCCATCTTATGGCTCGAAGACACATGTTGACTACTCCGAGAAAAATTCTGTTGGGAAATTCTGGTGATGATCTCTCTTGGAGGAACATACAAGCTTCGAGGGCAAAACTTCTTCAACGGGGAGGGACTAATGTGATTCCCCGGCCAGGAGAACCATATTCCCCGACCGAGGATCCCGAGGAGGTGAGTGGGGAGTGGAAACATGAGGTCCCCTAGTCATGAGGGTTCCAATCCCCAATAGGGGATAAGAGGACACGCGATAGGGGATCGGGGCTGACGAGCTTCAATTACCTTTTGTGTTTAGCATTATTTTCCTTTTCGGGTTTTTTATTAGTTTTTGTTTCTTTAGCCTATTTAAAGGTTTCGACTCGAGTTTTTGGTAGACTTTGAAGATTATTGAGTTTATTCTTGGTTCATTGAGCTATTAGCTTGTGAATTTGTGTTATGTATCAATCGAGTATTCCCCATGATTGTGGTCAAGCTTCTGCCCTATTTTGATAGAGCCTTCTCCCAGGTGTGAGATTGCACTTCAATTCCGTTTTATCCTTAATCATAACCCCAGTTCTTGGTTGTGTAATTTTAATAACTACACGTATTGTTTCCGTGCTCGTAGAATATCACAATAAATCATGATGAAGTCATTACTTATGGGCACATATTTTTCAAATTTTGAGTTGGAAACATATGCGGTAACAAGTGGTAATGAGTGGCACGATTTTTGTCTCGAAATATATAAAAATTCTTGAGTTAAAACAAATCAAATATAAGTAGATTAAAAAATAATAAAAAACAATAATATCACCCCTTAAATCTAACCCTTAATAGTTGTAAAATTTTATCTCGGTAATAGAACATTAAAGACTATATATAAAAGCTCAGTCCAAAGCCGAGGAGGGACAAGACTTGGACACGCGTCCTAACTAGCGCTAATGTCCCTGCATATTTGGTCCATTTACAAGATTGCCATTTATTTCCATTTTGATTTTTCCTCTTTGGTCGCTTATCCTGCTGCTCCGCCGCCGTTGAAAGCTCCTTCTGAGTTCCACCGGTATTTGTCTCCGACTGTCCGATTATTTTCTGCCACAGCCGCGCCTCTGGATATGAAATAGTAACTATGTCGAGGATTATCCTCGATCCACTAACTTATGTTCACGCAAAATCCCCCTTTACCTTCAATCTCCCGAATTTGCAGATGTGCTCTAATAAATGAAACAATGCATCTGCATGCAAGCATTGCAGAGAAACAATCAGAATAAATAGAGTCCACACCAAATTGCTTACATAGACAGCGAAGATGGTTGGAGAGAAGAAGTAAGAAGGCAACATAATTGCATGTAACTCCTACAAAAACTTCACACACTAATTGAAGATCAAACTCACAAAAGGGGATACGGTAAAGTAGTAGCATACCCAACGACAAAAGAAAGTCCACCAGATCGCCTCCTTAGACAACAAGTTCTTTTATTCTTTTCCAACACATCATCCTCTATATGTAGTCGTTGCATCTCAGGAACCTACCAACACATCATCTCCATCAAACTTATTCTTCTATTGTGAAATTTGTGTGAAGCTAACTTTGGGTGAATGATTTATTGATTGGATGCTTGAATGTTACATATGATTTCTACTCTACTTAGACAAGAAGAAAGACAATACACAATTACAATGATAAGCTGTGAAGTGATGGTGAGTGCTGAAACAACATGGGTGCCAAGCTAGGCATTCACAGTTGGTGTTTATTACTGGGCGAAGACCAATTATTATTCACCTTTCAATCTAGGCGAGATGATAACAGCGGCGGAGATCCATGGCTTCGAGGGCGCTGATGATGACGACGGTGGTGCTTCGAGACAGTTGGTTGCGTTGGTCACAGATCTGGTAGATCTGTCGCCGACAATTGATGTAGAGATGACTTAGCGGTGGCGGTGGACAAAATGTTCTTGTAGGAGTTACGCCTGCTCCTTCCTTCTAAGTTTCTCCAACATCCCCTACGTGTTCAAGCTCGCCGGAATTTGATTTCTCTCTGTCGGGGACATGATGGACGAAGACAGAGGATGGCCAGTGAGTAGATCCTTTAGCGATGTCCCGGGAATGTTGTTGGCTTTGTCGGGTTGACGATCGATGATTTGTATATTGGCCTTTGGTGGGGAGAAAAATGGTGGTGGCGCTACAATATTGATGGTCCATCGAAGGAAATGATGGTGGAAGTTTGTCTGAACGGCGACTCAGATTGTCGTTCTTCTATGGATGATGGAATCATGATTGTAGAGGAGCAGCCTGGAAAGTGCTCGCTCATGGCTGGAAATGAAACACAGATAGAGAACTTCTACTGGAAACTTGAAGAACAAAAGAATGAAGATTTGGAAGAGAGGTAAGAAACTCTATATAACTCTTTTCTTCCTCTTCTTCTTAGGCTTTCTTTCACTGGATTCTGAATCTAGCTATGATACCATGTGAGATTTGTATGAAGCAAACTTTGGGTGAATGATTTATTGATTGGATGCTTGAATGTTACAAATGACTACTACTATACTTATACAAGAAGAAAGACAATAAACAATTACAATGATAAGCTGGAAAGTGATGGTGCGTGCTGAAACAACATGGGTGCCATCAGCTACTGTCTTGAGTATGGAGTCCATTATGAGTGATTGCAGGACATGAATAGGCTGCTGCAGGAGACATGGGTGTATGTGAAATCCAGCTGTGGTGAGATGGATTTGATGACTTCCTACATCTATAAATCGTATGATTCCCACAACTGTCCAAACGGATTATGTGGGCGTTATCAAACAATTTGATTGAAAAAGAAGAGGGGTTAGAGTTCAATCGAGAGGAAAGTTGACCAAGGAAGGAGAGGAGATGCATCTTACTGAGGCATGGACATGCAAGGTAGCACAGATGCTAGGGGCTGCAATTGAGGCATGGCGGGGCGATCGAACAAAGAAGAATTGACTCGATCTGCGATGAGAGCGGTATCGGGGATTTGGTCGAATTAAAAGTAGACGGCAAGTGTGCTTTTGTCTCCGTGAACAAATTCAACTCTTGGGGTAATGACTGGATGATGGGGTTATGACTGAACTTGGTTTTGCACGATGCCAAAGGGTTACGCCAGAAGAGAATTTTGTGATATAGAGAATTATGGTACGGGAGAAACGACTGACCTAGGCTGACATCTCTGTGTTTATTTATGACATTTGTTAATTGTTTGGGTCAAAACAATCTATGAGAAGTATGAAAAATATATTGGGTTTGAATCAGGGACGGAGCCAGGATTTTACTGAAGGGGGGCTGGCAAATTTTTTTCAAGCGAAATTATATAAAATTAATAAAATCAATAATATCATTTATTAGTTTTACATGTGCTCTTTCATTTTGGCAAAATAAGAGAAAATAAAAATATATCATCCTACAAAAATGACTAAACTGTTAGCAAAAATCACTCTTTTAAGAGATTAATATATATGTTCTGTGACAACAAAGATAACAAAGAATCAAAAATTAGAAATGACAAATCATGTACATCTAACAAAATTATTATGTTTGAGCACCATAACTAAATTTTGAAATAAATATTGGATAAAAATACTCAATTATGGTTGAAAAGGTGTAGAATCATGGCTAAAATCCTAACCATCCATGGCCAAGTTGCAAATTTTAGGAAAAATATGAGCTAGAAAATGAGGGGAAACATCAAAATGAAAAAAGTTTGGGACTAATGGGAAAGAAGGAAATTGGAGGGGGGGGGGGGGGGGGGGGGGTTGGGGTGGTTAAAATAATATAATTTTATAGCAATGAATGATCATAATGCATAATTTGAAAACATTGGGAATAAGAAGAGAAAACGGAAAAATGGATGCCAAAATAGGAAAGTTTGCTAATGATGGGGGAAATCAAGCAAGGTTCCAAAAATGCACTAGACAATCATGCTACCAATGCATCAATGATCCATAATGTTCATATAAGATTTTTAAAACTTTGGGGGGGGGGGGGGGTGACGACCCCCCTAGCAATACACTAGCTTCATCCCTGATTTGAACTGAAAAGGAAAAGAAACCCAATTACGACTAGAGAAC